TATACTACACAAAGGAAATAAATAGAATGAACGACATAACCTCATTCAAAATAGATTTCAGAATAAATTTGGAAAGCATAGATTTCAGAATAACAACTATGTTAACTACTCAAGAACCTCGAGGAGGCTTATAAGATTTCCATGAAAAAAATGATTCAAAAATTTCAAATCAAAGGGTTGCGAATTGAAGCCAGTCGGAGAGAAGGGAGAGATAAAGAAGAAGAAACAAAGAGGGATCTGAGATAAACTAGATAAGAATTTAAGCTGAAAAAATAAAAAAAAAAACATTACCACCATCTCAAATAAATAAACATTACCACATCTCAATAAACATTACCAAAAAAGGGATATGTTAGAATCAAGGTCATAGGTATTGTACAAATAAATAAAATAACTAAATAAATAAATACGTAATGAAGTTAAGTTTGAATCTGAAAAGGTGGAGAAGTTCATTCATCAGATAAATATAATAATTGAAGAGCCTAAATATAATAGAGTGAAATATACCTAAATAAAGTTAACAATAAATACTTTTACTGTATAGTCGTTAACACCTTCAAGGAGAAGTTAAGTTTATTTAAATAACATAAGCGGGAGATTGAACTAAATAAATAAGCTAAGTAAAAAAGATCAGAAGTGAAAAGTTGAAGTTCTCTTCAACTAACCTAATTGAATGTTTTCAGACTTTTGCAAAAATATGGAAATATCAGCTCATTGAAATAAAATGATTAATTTCTAATCATCTCTACAAACAATTCCAAATATAGCGACGTCAAAGAAAAGACGAACAAAACATATGAACCTACAAGTGAACATCGAATCCACACTAGCCCTGCTATTGGTTAGCAGATTGAATAAATCATCTCAACGCGGATACTGCACAAGCGGCGTGCTGTATCCTAGTGCAAAAGATTTGTCTAAATCTGAAAATTAACAAACTATTATTGAGATCAGCAAAAAACATTCATTGAGTTGTTACAAAAGATATACATATGTTGTAAAAAAAAATAAAATTAAAAAACAGCTGCAAGGATTGCAATCTTAGAAATCTGAAATTTAAATACTATCTATTAGATGCAAAAATAAATTCTTCCTTTTTTCAAAATCAAAACATACGATTGAAAGACCTACCGGAACAGAAATCCTCCAGCTCCAAGTTTTGCCTTGCAATCCTCCACATCCCTCAAAATGAACTAAATACATACATACATAGTCCACATACACAAAGAAACCATAAAATTAAGCAGATAATATCTCCAAATCAGAGGCAAAACAAAATATTATACATAGTTCAAACCGAATTGCAACAGACGGAAAATAGTCGATCAAAAAAAAAAAAAAATTGAGACTCAATCAAAGATAGTCAGTTAAACACCAAAATCGATCAAAATCATTCAACAGATCTCTAGTAGGTAATCCATAAAGTTTTTCTGAATATAGCCATGAATTGAAAATATAAATAAATAAATAAAAATAGAATTTATTGGGGAAAATACAGCTTTGATGGACGATAGCGATGTTTCGGATGGACATGGAACCCAAGAAATGTGTTCTAATGAAGTGCAGACTCTTCCAATTTTGCAGAAATTTGAACAAACATATTCTAAATAAAGCCAATTACAAACATATACATACACAAACAGATATTGTTTATGCTCTATTCTTACTGCTTGATCACAACCCATAAGCTTCAACTTGAGGACATAAATGCATTTACCAAGACATAAACAAATGAAAAATTACAAAAAGAAATTTCTCAGAGAAAAAACAGCTATAAGTCTCCACAGTCCTTACATATCACATCAAATGTTGCCAAAAAAAAGTAGAAGTGTACCTAAAATAGGCTATGATCTCATATTCATCTCCATAATTATTAAATCCATCTATATCTATTAACTCTTTAACTTAGAAAATATTGACATTTGTATTCCTTCGAATAATATTAAACTAAATCAAGAGATTCCCCAATTGGCCTATAATAATGTTCAACATTTTAAAATCAGCCATTTGACTCAATGCAGAAAGAGGTTTCCAAAACCATTTCCAGTATTTCTATTCCATTCTGGATATTGACAATGACAGAAAATTCTTCCCTCAGTAAACATTGTCCTCAAGCAAGCATCATGTATGATAAAAAATTATGTCGTTAAGTAATGTAATGCAAACTAAATAAGCTCAATTGAACCTGGAGGCTGGAGATTTCATGTTCAGGATCAAACAAATAGCATTATTAAGATAAGAATCCGTTATCCAATTGCAAAACAATCCATCTTTTGTAATGAAGTGGAGTCCCACAAACATCAAACATTACAAATTTACAATGATCATTATATCATAAACATTGTATCTGAAACAACTGATCAACCATCCAATTTTCACATGATGATAAATGTGCCACAATAATGTATGATAAAAAATTATGTTGTTAAGTAATGTAATGCAAACTAAATAAGCTCAATTGAACCTGGAGGCTGGAGATTTCATGTTCAGGATCAAACAAATAGCATTATTAAGATAAGAATCCGTTATCCAATTGCAAAACAATCCATCTTTTGTAATGAAGTGGAGTCCCACAAACATCAAACATTACAAATTTACAATGATCATTATATCATAAACATTGTATCTGAAACAACTGATCAACCATCCAATTTTCACATGATGATAAATGTGCCACAATAATCAATGTAATGCTGAAAGAAAAAAGTCACCTGATCAATCTGCCTTGTAGCGGGCGTGATCTTACTGTCGACAGCCTTAATTAAATCATTGTAATAGCTCTCAGTCACCGTAGATTTCTTCTTAGCCGCCCCGGAGAGCGAAAACCAGACCTTAGGCCGTAAAACCGCCGGAATTCCCTTCCTCATGAGATTCTTGAGCGTAATTGCATTTGCTAAAGCTGAAAATCGAAGGGAAGCTTTAAGGGTAGAAGAAACATGAGTCTGAAAATACCAAGTTCAGATAAATCTTGAAATTTATACTCTTAAACATTGATTTCAGAATTTATACTCTTATACATTGAAATTTATACTCTTAAATTTCTTGTAGTTGTCTCTAATTTTTATTTTTTGTTTCAGAATTTAAAGAAGGAGCATGCAGCTTTATGCAATGAAGTGAACGGCATCAATTAGATGTTCAAACATAAATAGCAGTGGAGAATCTCATTTCCAATAACCCTGTGGGAGAATAAAATGCATAGCCACTACAAATTAAATTTGCTCACCTTCAATTTGTAGAATTTGGGAGAGCCGACTCCAGAGCGTCGAACAAATTTCAATTTTCTACAAAAAATAGCAGTGGAGAATCTCTACAACAACACATTTCAATTTTATTTTTCTTTTTTACCCTTACAAAAAACCCTAAAAAAAAAATCCCAAATTCTACAACAACAACAAAAAACCTAATTCTACAACCTAAAAAAAATCCTAAAAAAAAAACCTAATTCTACAACAACAGATTTCAATTTGTAGTTATATACCTGTACGTTGGAGTCGCTGGTTCGGGTCGGAGACAGAATCAGGCTGGTCGGAGAGAGAGAGTTGAGAGAAGACAGATCGTCGATAGAAGAGAGTCCGGCGGGACTGAGCGGCGAGAAGCGAGTCAGGCGAGAGACTCGATCATCGGAGAGAGAGACTCGACTCGATCGTCGGATGGAGGGAGGCTCGGTCGGTGACAGCCTCGGTCAGGCCGAAGAGAAGGGTTGTAAGGGAAGGAGGAGTAGCGTAGCGAAGAGGGAGGGTGGGTATCGAAGGGTTCGAAGGGTCTTCAATGGCTGTGGTGATGAGAGACACTGGAGAGAGGGAGCTGAAGAGAACGTGGGACAGAGGGAGAGATGAACTTAAAACGGGTGGGAAATGTATCTCTGATTCATCTTGGCCGTTGATCTAAGCTCAGGATTCATCTTGGCCTTTAAAATCAAATGTATCTCACATACATTTTAACACATTTTCAAAATCCCTCTTGCCTAAAGTATGCAAACTTTTCAAAATCAAATGTATGCCCGTGCCTAAAGGCACGGTGCTAATAATGATAAAATAAAAATGTGATTGAATATAAAATTGTTAGGTTAAAATATAATTTATTCCATTTGTTGCTAAAAAATTGAAGTCAAAATATAAATCAAGGTCTGGTTAATTTTAAAAAGTTTTTTTTTTTTAAACTTGAAAATAAACATTTCCTAATCAACTATTTAAAGTACGGCAAGTAACTCAATCATAAACATTTTGATTTTATTAACAAACTTTATGACTTTAAAGTATAAACTTCATATCAACACAAAAATTAAAAATAAAAGCATCCTTACCAAGCAAGTCAAAAAAAAAAAAAAAATTTATAGATACAAAATAAAACGCACAACCCAAAGATATTGTACATTTGTTAACTCAATAATCCAAAAAAAATTACACCAAACAATGCACAACCAATGCTTGACAATTACAAAAAAAAAAAAATTAAATTAAAATTGAAATACCAAACAATGCATGCCAGCCAGTGCTCTATAATCTATAAAAAAAATTAAAATTGAAACGCACACCAATACTTTGTAATTTAAAAAAAATTAATTTTAAACACCAAGAAATGCACACTTGCTAGTGCTATTGCCACAACTGAACATTATAATAGTTCTTTGCAAATTATAAACCCAAAACTACATGAGAAAAAATATAGGGAGAAAAAAAAAATTTAACTTGCCCACATGGTCACATGAGATTTTAAAAAATGTATTCTCAGCACAATCTACACCACATGGAAATAAGAAAAAATCAAGTACAACAACTTACTAATGGTGCAGAGAGACCATATATATTTTGTTCAAACCTTATGTAACACAACAGATATATAAAATCATGGAAATAACTTATAAATTTCACGGAGGGCAACAAAAGCTGAAAGAGAAAGAAGGAGAGGAGTGAAACAACAAAATCTGAGAGAAATAACTTACCGGAGTGAGCTCTGATGGGGGAAAGAAGGAAACAACAAAAGCTGAGAGAGAGAAAAGGGAGAGAGAGTTTTAAATTTGAAATCAAGAAACCTACGCACTTTAAAATACCATTGCACTGAAGAAATCAAGAAACCTGTTAATCACTTGAAGATACAAAGCAAGCAAGAGAGATGTGATATAGGATTTATGGATACAATCATGGAATTAATTTTCTTAAATAAACCTGATGAAAAGTGCAATAAAATAGAAGCACAAATGACAATTCAATTAAAGAAGAATGCATGGATAGTTTATGGATTTAACAATTATAATAGACCTCACCGCAAAAGGGGAAACAGTTGATGTTCAAATAGGCTGATATTTAATCAACATCAGTAATTCAATTAAGGCCAAGGTTGTAGTTAATCATCAATTTCTTAATTTACTTTGTCTTTGTGAAATTAAGTTGCCAAACTATAAAACAATATGTGCAACATATGGATTGTGTTGAGCCATGATACCACTATCAATCATCCCATAAAAACAAATTGAATTAATGATTGGGATCCATTCCACTAATGTAAAGATGATGATAAGATAAACAAATTTACTTATCACACTATTACTCGTTTGTAAATGGGCATTGGACGTTAAAAAAAAAAAAATTAATATAACGGTGATATCGTATTAAAAAAAAATTGATCATATCATTGAATTTTTATTTTGTGGATGATGCAGCCATTTTATTGTTCTTGGTTACATTGTTTTTGGTTACATCGTTTTATCAAGAGTTGTGCCTCGTTTGGGAATCCAAACTCAAATTTGGAAGAATTGTTAAATGCTCTGTTATCCTCAAATGCTGTACAATTCTATGAACCAAACATCTTTGAGGAAAACAAAAAAGAATTTAAAAAACAACAAAGGAATTGGTGACTTGTTTCCTTTTGTTTGAGTTGATTTTTTGCTAGATGTGTTGTTTCACATTTTTACATCAAATAAAATTGTTACAAAATCTAAATCTTTAATATCAAACACAGAAATTAACAATTTTTATACTGGAATGCAATATTTCAAATAAGATAAATTAGAAATCAAGAAATTTATTGAAATCAATGTATCAAATCTAAAAATTGAGAGCGAAGACTCACTGTCTCGAGGATAAGAACTGAACCGAAAGTTCACTGATACAATGATGCTTCCTCGACAATGTTGAAATTTCCTGTTAAAAATAAAATAAAAATTGTCGAAATTTCGGAGGGAGGGTAACACCATAATAATTGAATCTCATTCTCCAAGCTAAGTCTGGCAATGGTAAGGAAGATCGAAGGTGCTGTGATTGTGTGAAACCACATTTATAAATTGAAGGCACTTTATGGGTACTTTTTTCCGGGAAAAAATTCGTACACAATAACATGAATGTAAACAACAACAACAATAACATCCAATCAAATATAATCGAATTTCACAATGAACTCAAAAAAACCACTAAAATTAACCAAACAACATCAGAAATCGCAATTATTCATATGTAGATACAATTAAAAAATAGACACAGCCCGTCAGAAAGAGAGAGAGAGAGGCAGGACACGATGAACTCAAAAAAAAAAAAAAACCTAAAAAAAAAACCTAAAATTAACCAAACAGTATCAGAAATCGCAATAATAAAAAAAACACACAGCCCAACAGAGAGAGAAGGGGAGAAGTAGAAACCGAGGACTACCTTGCGAGCCGAGTTCGAGAGGCAGAAATCGAGGACTGGAGATTTCCTCACTATCAAGTGAACATCTTCATTTGCTCTATGGCCAGATCTGCATGTCAAGTTTATGTTTAAAAGATGACTATCCAGTCTTCAATCATTAATTAAGAAAAATAAATAAACGAAGATTGAGCACATTGATACATTTCTAGTATAACCATCATCAAAGTATCCAATTCAAATTAAAACCAAAATCAAAATTCGTTATAATCATAAGTATTTTGAAGTTCACCATTTATCATTTAGAAAGTCCAAACATAAATTTATGCCACAAAACAAAAACAAAAAAACAAAACAAATTTATACTATCTATCAAGTAAATCAACAACCAACATAAACAACAACCAACAAAACCAACTTTAATCTTCAGTAGCTTTCCCAGAACTATATGTTAATATTTTAAATAACAAATTTTAATAGATCTCTAAGTGAGTTACTCGAAGCTTTCCCTGGTCTTAAGTTTACAATCTCCTTTTCTAATGGATTTTCACCACCATATATGCACCATAAATACTATAATTTACATCTAGTGTAGCGTAACAAATCCCACATTTCTCATATTCAAATGCGGACCTGCTGTAGATTTCCTCACTGTCAAGTGAACATCTTCATTTGCATTATGGCCAGGTCTGCGTGTCAAGTTTATGTTTCAAAGATCACTATTCAGTCTTCAATCATTAATTCAATTATAAATAATGTGAACAGGCGAAATTTAGATCGAACACATCTCAGCCAATTCAAATACTGAAGTGCCCAAACTGATCTACTGAGATAAATGGCGAAATTTAGATCAAACATATCTCAGCCAATTCTATTCCACAAAATTTCTACTGGAATGTGAACAGGCGAAAATTTGATCTAGTGTATGCCCGTGCCTAAAGGCACGGTGTAAATAATTTTTTATTTAAATAATGTTTAAGTTAGCAATATTGAGAATCAAGTATACCTAAAATTTTGTTACCCCATGACACAAAAAATGAATAGATAGCATACATTTGAATAATAGGAACAACAAAATGGTGTTTTCCCTTTGGAGTACCCCACGCCAATATGAAAATGGTGTTCTTAATCAAAATCTAAATAGCAAACACCTCCAAATGTTTACCTCTCAATAATTAAAAATATGATAATTATATTTATTTATTTTTATATTTAATCTCTCGTAAATAAAATTTTATGTATAAGTATATAGTATAGATAGATTACAATTATACCATAGTACGGGATATTTTATAACATATTATACCATTATACCATAGATTAAAATTATATAGTATAGATATTTTATAATATATTATACCATAGTACGGGATAAAATTCAATGGATAAAACAACAAATGAACAACATACAGTAAGGGGACAATTGTTTACAGGGTCTTAAAAAAGTAATAGGCAATGCTGAAACTATATTTATTTTTTATCACAGCTTACCAATCCCCACTCCCAAATAAAGAAAAAAAGAATAGAAAAACACAGAAAGAATCAGTATTTAGGAAGCTCAAAAGTATTTAGGACCCATTTCATGAATTGGCACCCATTTCCCATAAAAGAATTAAACATTTCATAAATCAAAACCATGTCAGGAATCAAACTGAAATAAACACCCACTTAAAAAATGAAGCCCATTTAAATTGAATCTAAATTGGGGCTTTTTATTTCAAATCTATGTTACCTTATGAAGAAAGTTTTATGCAATCTCAAGTATAAGATATTGTTATGCGCACAGCAAACAAGTATAGACTAGATTGCCTAATTTGGGAATAAGCATTGCATATCCGTTTGTTTTGGAAAAATGTTTTGGAATTTGCTACTCGCAAGTAGGCTAAAACACGGATTTCAATGAGCTATTCCAACTCAGACAATCCAACCTTCACCCACAGGCATTCAAGCAGTTATATCACATAAGCAGCTAGCCTCATGGTAATCATGCTATCATGGCAACACTCACATGCATGCAAGGATGCTAAAGTATAAATACTTACATCGTACTCCGTGCCAAAACAGAGAACTTGTTAGCAATCAAAGCATGATCCAAGTCCATGTTTGAATGTCTAATGCAATGCATACGGAATGTCACTAGAGTAGGCTCGGCTAGTCTATGAATGACATGTGAAAATGCACAAGTAGCATGTATTCAAGTTAGATTTGAAATGCTATTGCAGTTAGCATGATGCGCCGAGCCCAGTGCATGCAATACTGATGAATGATGCACGCATGCATAGCATAAGTTATGCTAAATTGAACATGACCTATTACTAACCATCAAAGTAGGTAAGTAAAAGGGAGAAAGAAGTGGGGGTTGGAGGATATGCACACACTCACCCACACTTATTACAAATTCGCCCTCGCTCGGAGGGACCGAAAGAATAATACAAATTAACTAACTCGCAAGCTAATTGATTATTACAAATCACCTAATTAATTAATAAATTAACTAAGCATAAGGAAAGCAATAAAAAGGGGGGGCTCGGGAAGAGGGTTCGATGCGTGCGTGCTCGGGTCTTGCTCGGAAGTGCACTGCCATGCATAGGCCGCCTCTGTTTTCCCTGCTCTGCCTCTTTGAAGACTGCCAAAGTCTCAGAATTGCTTCCCCAGAGAGAGAGAGAAATACACACCATCAAAAACTCCAAAGAGACCAACTATCTCTCCATCCACACCATCAATTCTTGTCTCATAAAAATCTTCCATTGTAGACCTTTTTCCAAGGGAGCTTGCATAACCATAGCTGAACTTTCCATTCTGACTGTTTTCAGGAGACAAATTAAGCACAATGTTAGACTTAGACTTCTGCACTCTCATTTTTCGGAAAGAACTATAAACATTGCAAAGAAGTATAAATTCCTTCAATTACTAAAACCACAGTCGCCATACAACATCAACAAAAACTCTTGAACCGATGCAGCATTTAAATTGAAGGAATGTGAACAGATCAAACACAGTGCGAAAATTTGATTTATTTCTACTGGAATGTGAACAGATCGAACACAGTAGAAAATTTCAAATGTGAAATAAAACCAAAATCAAGTAATTTGATTTATTTATCTCATATACCTAATGACAACACAGAGAGAAGGCGAAAACCTAGAAATAAGGCGATTCTTTAAACCCTAATTACTTACTTCAGAGAGAAGGCGATTCTTGGGAAGAAGTTTGGGCACTTCAGGAGGTAGAACCACATGTCTGCAAAATCAACAAATCAATAACCAAAGAAGTCGAAATTTCTGATGGGCAATGTGATCGGAACGCCAGATCTCGACCTCCTTCCGAAGATCGATTAGATCAAGCCCTAGATCGAACACATCTCAGCCATTGATGACGTCCTTCAGCAATGCTATCTGATCTCAGATCGGTTGTGAAGCACAGTAGGGATAGGGAGAGGGAGAGAGAGAGAGAGAGAGAGAGAGAGAGGGAGTTGAGGACAACGTTTGGGTAGAGGCAGCCGTGTTTGGTAGGCGTGGGAGAGAGAGGAGATGGTGTTTGGGCGGGAATCAAACACATCCCAACCATTCATATATATTTGGGATTGATCTTAGCCATTGGATTAAAATGTATCTCACATACATTTTGATACGCTTAGAGTGAAGATGCACTCGATCATCATTGAACAGAAGTATAAGCTGGCGTATGAGACCATCGCCGTGATATATGAGGTTCAAGACACGAACCCTTGGTATTATGACATCTTGAATTTCCTGGACAAAGAGGCGTACCCACCAGGGGCAAGTGCCAAGGACAAAAGGGGAATATGGCGTCTGGCCATCCAATTCATCATCTGTGGAAACAAGTTGTACAAAAGAGGCCATCTGGGAATGCATAAGTTGTGTGTTAAGGAAGGAGAATCAAGGCGCCTTATGGAAGCTATCCACGGAGGAGAGTGCGTAGCTCACATGAATGGTGTGATGCTAGCTCGGAAAATCCTTAGACAAGGCTACTACTGGTCAACCATGGAGGAGGACTGTATTGGCTTTGTACGGCGATGCCACAAATGTCAGATCCATGCCAATCGCATGAACATCCTGCCATCAAAACTCTACAATATGACTTCACCATGGCCTTTCTCAGTCTGGGGAATTGATGTTATCGGTGCAGTCACGCCAAAGGGGTCAAACGGGCATGAGTTCATTTTGGTAGCAATCGACTACTTTACAAAGTGGGTGGAGGCCCAATCCTATGTCGTTCTAAAGGCATCGCATGTGTAACGCCCTCAAAATAATGACAATAAACCCATCAGATAAGACATGCATTTACATTTAAACTAACTGCATTCCTTTCATTCATTAGAATTCCAAGACATAAGTATTACATGTTAACGAGTATGTGAACTTGAGATCCAAACGCGTCTTACGCGAGAGGAGTATGTGAACTGGAGATCCAAACGCGTCGTACGCGAGAGGAGTATGTGAATCTTGATATCCAAACGCGTCTTACATGAGAAGAGTATGTGAACTTGAGATCCAAACGCGTCTTACGCGAGAGGAGTATGTGAACTTGAGATCCAAACGCGTCTTACGCGAGAGGAGTATGTGAATCTTGAGATCCAAACGCGTCTTACACGAGAGGAGTATGTGAACTTGAGATCCAAATGCGTCTTACACGAGAGGAGTATGTGAACTTAAGATGCAAACACGTCTTACGCGAGAGGAGTATGTGGACTTGAGATCCAAGCGCGTCTTACGCGAGAGGAGTGTGTGAACTTGAGAGCCAAACCGCGTCTTACGCAAGAGGAGTATGTGAACTTGAGATTCAAACACGTCTTACGCGAGAGGAGTATGTGAACTTGAGATCCAAACGCATCTTATGTGAGAGGAGCATGTGAACTTGAGATCCAAATGCGTCTTACGCGAGAGGAGGAATAGTGAACTTTAGATCCAAACGCGACTTACGTGAGAGGAGTATGTGAACTTGAGATCCAAACGCGTCTTACGCGAGAGGAGTATATGAACTTGAGATGATAAACATCAAATCTTAACACATTTCACGTGAAAAGAGGGAAGGTAAAGTCAAAATCCAAATGTGTTTCGCGGGAACGGAAGAAGGTATAGTAGAATGATTATAGGTAACCTCTATACGCAGAAGCCACATATGCAGTTTTTTTTTTTTTTTTTTTTTTTTTTTTTTTTTTTTTTTTTATCATATTCACAACTTTCCCTATTCTCTAATGGGGTGATAGACTAGGTTGGTTCAGTATCCAGAATTGAGGCGCATATATGTTACCTCAACCTATGGGGCTGCCATACATATTTCAAGCCGAGGATACACCCCTGGGTATTTAAACCAGACTTTAGTCTCGGAAATTCCAAACCTTTGCGTTCTAGGCATCGCCATTCGAACTTTAGTTTCCACCGTCACAGTTGGTCTCCTAGGAACTCATTGCAAACACAGGCAGGTGGCTATACCAGACCGCCTGAAGTCGTTCGGGAACGACAAACACCAAAGGAATTGCACCTCTAGAGGATTTAAGGTCTCTTAGACCTCGACAAGTGCACAAAATAATGCGATGCGCAAGATAGTGCGATGGATTGAGATTGTGTGGTAGACGCTTGATTGTGCGATAGATGCACAATATGGTTATGATCGCGTGAGAGATGCACAGTGTGGATGGGATCGTGCGATAGATGCACGGTGCGGATGGGATCGTGTGATAGATGCACAGTGCGGATGGGATCGTGCGATAGATACACGGTGCAGATATGATTATGCGATAGATGCACGGTGCGGGTGTGATCGTGCATATAAACAAAATATATACAGATATGTACATACGGTATACATATATTCATATACAGACATATACACAGACAGAGGCAGATAGATACGGTATATATACACAAACAGATATAGATATATACATAAATATATACGGTATAGACATATACGGACCTATATATAGACATATACAGAGATATACACAGGTGGGGAATATTCTGTTTGCAGTCGTCAGTGAGACGATGCTGTTATTGTGAAGGCATATTTCGTTTGCTGACGTCGGCACACGTACTCCAAACACGCAAAAAAGAAAGGAAAAACTTAAAATGTATGGATGCGGGGATAAGGGGTTTCGAACCCCTGACCTCAGGCTTAGTCTCTTGGTCCTTCAACCATTGAGCCAAACCACTGAACCAAGCTAGTCTTGTGAAAAGATTTGCAAACAAATGTATACATACATATATATGAGACATATACACATAAAACCAAAACAAAACAAAAGAAGCATTTGTTGTGGGGTTCGAACCCCTGACCTTGGGCTTAGTCTCTCAGTCTTCAACCACTGGGCCAAACCACTATACCTAAGCCACTCTTATGACCAAAACGTTCGAACAAATATATATAATACATAGATATACAATATATATACATATATGTATAAATATACAATTCTCCCACTTCTCTCTCTGTTTTTGTCTCACTCTCTCTTCCGTCATCTTCTTCGAGCGTTGTGTCTGGCACGCGATTTTAACAATCGCAGCACCTGACCGACAGGCTATCCAATCCTGTCCCGATTGTCAATGATCGTCTTAGCCTTCCTCCCTCTTTGTCTTCTTCTTTGGCTTCGTCCTCTTCCTAAGTTGAGGCCTGCGAGAGAGACAGAGCAAAAGCCTGCAAACTTTCTCTGCCACCACGCTATAACTTCTTTCTTTTGCATTA